GGAATCCTGTTCACTGCTTCAATTTTAGATTCACGTAAATTGAAGCAGTGAACAGGATTCCGAATGAAACCTTTCATCTCAGAGGCACTATTCAACACTTGTCGAATGCTGACCTTAGCAACCACCAAAAATTGATTGATTTGTGTCAAACAACAGAACATATTTTGAATTGTCGCGGAATGCGACGAAGATGTGACGAAAAAAGCTTAATATCCTCGTGAAACCAGAGAAAATGGAGCTTTTGACGCACTTGAGACGGAGAATTCGATGAGAATAATCAGTTAGGAAATGATTATCAGCAAGCGTTTCATAACTACCGTATCTATACTATATTGACATCCACTCATGATGTCGACTTGCCAGGTGCACAAAAAATGTGTTTTTTTTTTCAATATCGTTGTAATTAAACCTTTGCACAGATTAGTCTGTGTCAAAGCACATTCCGAATGAAACCTTTCATCTCAGAGGCACTATTCAACACTTGTCGAATGCTGACCCTAGCAACCACCAAAAATTGATTGATTTGTGTCAAACAACAGAACATATTATGAAGAATGCAATGAAAGGAATAAGATACTTGCGTCGAATTGTCGTGGAATGCGACGAAGATGTGACGAAAAAAGCTTACAAGCTTGTTAATATCCTCGTGAAACCATCAGAATAATGTAACTATTCTGCTGAAATGGATAATAAGAGCATTTCACATTTTTATGAGTTTCATACATCCGCCTTCATGAATTGTTTCGTGCATGAACTCACTGATCTAGAACGAGACCGATTTTTATTCGTGCTGCTGTCACAAATGTTAACCTCATCACATCTAATATTGATCAACATCGTTCATTATCACTAACGACTGCATTGCTATTGTTAAGTGCTTTGAGATCAGTGCCAGATTGAAACAGCGTAGATCTGAGAGCAACTGTTTTCGATCGAATAGAAGTACTTCACAAACTGTCAACATATTCACCTGAGTTCATGGTCTTCTATGGAAGAGTGTTCAGTTGACATTTCTTGTCGTTTCTGATGGTGATTCAAATTTTGAGTGCTCACTTGAATGATTCTGAATGAGCTGTGCAAATTTCGATGATAGCATTTCGCTATCAGCCGATTGGCTACTTTCGTTTCAGTTTCGGTAACGTTCAGTTTCGGTAACATTCATATTTCAGTCCTTCATTACTTTCCTCATTCATATCTATTTCCTCCTTTTAATCATTTTTAGATCTCATTCCGAATCCTCAATAATTTCTTCATATTCGTCAGCGATAATGAATTTGTTAGTCAAATTGAAGTTAGTGACTTTGTCTTCTATCACATTCCAACAGTTTCTGGTGAAAAAATTAGAATTGTCCTTGTATGCAGAAAAGAAAACGTAAAAAGCGTTCACGATGTTGCTGAGAAGACAAAACTCTTGAGGTCAATGAAACAGGACTTGTTATAAAGAATTTTGCATGAGATTGGATCGAGGCAAGAGGACGTTTGCGGCAAATCTTGAAATGGATCAATTTGAAGAGCGACATCCATATATAGTCAACACTGCAAAAATGGTTTCGAGTGTTGGAATGTAATGTTCATTCCAGAAATGAAAAAAACACAATTGAACAGTTGTACAAATAAAAATATTTCAATAAGAACCAGCAGTAGTGATCATGAAAGTACCGCAGTGCTGAGTATGATGCTATCAGCATCCTCAATGGATGATGCTTCATCAATAATCCATCCTCAGTACGCTCCACCCAATTCACTGCTGGAATATCCACGAATTTGCCACGCCCCATCTCCTCACCTTGCTATATTCCGATCTTCCAATGTCTTTTCGAAATATCCAGCAACTGAACCAGCACAACAACATCCTTTCAGACCATTTNTTTGACATTACCCACAGTGCTTATACACATCAAATTCCAAATGGCATTTTCGTATACGCAATAGTCCAGTCAATCGTAAATCATGACACTTGAACCAAATTGATTCATACTGAAGCTTAATTGACTCTCTAAGATCATTTTCAATCACTTCAGCTCGCTGAAAATTACTCATCCGTTTGCCTAAAAACATCTTAGTTGAGTGCAGAACAAAATTAAAGCAATTTTTTTTAGAACTACGAGCATCATTCATGTAATTATGGGTAGTGGAAGCGTGCAAAATACATCGATATTGAAAAATATATATCCAAGGTCATAATTAGTCCAACTGATACGTTTGCAATGGTTGTAGTGATTAGATTAGTTTGGTATCGAAACAACAAGAAAATGAGCATTCCATTCGTGTTCAATAAATGTTCACCTGCAGTTTCTAATTGGAGTATTGAATTTCTATCAGTATCAGTGAAGGCTTGCAATTAGAAAACGACCGACTCCTATATATTATAGAGAATGTAAACAGATTGAACGCAGTTCCCGTTCATTGCTACATAAAATGCGTTATAATTAGAAAGAGTCAAACAGAGCCATCCATAAATGAGGGAATCGAACCTCTTAACTTCATCACAACAATGAAGAAAGTGCACAGTAATGCACGATTAATGCTGTACAAAGGAACTGAGCAAAGAAACTCGAATCCTCAATTTGCGTGAATTCTTTGAGTGACTTTATTGGCTTAATACTAAATTTGTTACTATTTTGCTAACTATTGTATTTTATCCATTGCTGGAAATTCACTATTTTCATAATATTTGCTGTCCATTGCAATTCAGAAGCTTCCATTCAACTACATTTTCACGTGAAATTTTCAATAAATTTGATTTCCCCTCAACACCGGGAAATCAGTCCTTTGTCGAGTTAAGTACTATTGATTTTAGGATGGTAAGCAAATAAATAATTCGGATATTCTTCTCCTGAATGATCGTCAACAACTGCACATTGAATCTGCAACTGAAGAGGATGCTGGTCGATATTCGTGTGTTGCCGAAAACAAACCTGGTCGGGTAGAGAAAGACCTCATTGTGGCTGTATTAAGTCAGTTTTTTTTAATTACACCGTCCCAGCTTTCCATTTAGTGACAACTGATTCTTTGACGAAACGAGATAATTCTTTCTGATTTCAAAATTGTGAATGTAGAGACTGATGTAGTTTTAAAATGATATCTGTAAATCATTATTTTAAAAGTGATTTCACTTTATCTTTCAGAGCCACCTCTGATGGAAGATTATCAACGATCATTTGAAGTGCCTGAGAACGATACGCATACGTTGATATGCCCAATCAACGATCCATCTGTTGGAATACAGTGGTCGAAAAACGGTGTTCCGATCACAACGTCGAATAATCTTCAGGTCTTTTTTTACTTGCACAGTTTGCAAAAGGCTTATTGCATATTTAGACGATGAAGAGTGTTTACAGATGAGTTCGGCTTTTGATGCAATTTCCAAAGTGATGATTCCATTGAGTTATGAGTTCAAATTCGATCAGCGTTCACTACAATACTAATTGTTTTGCATAACCTTGCAAGTCAAAAATTAATACAATATGCTTCATGCATCTCATCGTCAATTGTTCCATGCTTGAACAATTGCTCTTTTTCCACTGTAATTTATTCATGAACGTCGAGAATTTTATGTTTGTGTACAATTGTCAGTGTGATATTCTTATCACTTTACTTGTGCAATCGTTTCAACCCATCTGGATCGTGATAATTTCTTTGCCGAATTCGTAGTGCAAACTGTTGCAAGTTTTTCCGCTTTTGCAGTTATTTGTATTTTCGTTATAATGGTTCGCTGTGCTCTCAATTGAAATATTAGTTTTGGGAAAGCGATAGGTTCTACTGATGAGAGCAATGCTCATTTTCGCGTTGAAATGCTCTTCTGTCACAGAACAAATTGATACCAGACAATGATTCGTTTTGTTTCAGTTGTCAACCAGCGGTCACAAGTTGCACATAATGCGTGGGCAGGTAACAGATGGGGGTCGCTATACATGCCGTGCTTGGAATGAGGCTGGTGAGGCTACGTCCAGTATGGATGTCATTATTTTAGGTTCGTTATCGCTATTGTCGCATTTGACATTCCTTCTTCTTCATAGGATCATATTCAGTGTAACGCATTCCCATTCACTAGTAAGCTTGAAATATTTTCCTAACTCACCACTCTTATCGCACTTTGTTTATGTAGTCTCATTTCGAAACCGCTCTGTTCAGCTTATCAAACTAAGTTTATCGAGGTCACTAGAATCATCAAGTTTGATAACATACCAGTTTCGATACCTCTTTTCAATTATTGAAATCCATAGTTTATGAGTCATCCAGTGAGGATGACTCATAAACTATGAATTTATGAGTCAATGAATTGTCGAATGAAGACGCATTGGAATTTAGGTGTCTGGATTTATGCTGGCGATGCCAAATTGTTGTATGCAGTTCCCACTTCTGCTTTTGCTGTCGTGACCTAGTAACACTTGTCTATCTAGCCTTACAACAGCAAATTTGATTGTTTCATGCATCGGTAATTCCCAGAAAATTCCTGGAATTTGAACCGTGACTACGTTATTGACAAACGTCAGTAGTCGTTGGCTTTTGAGAATTGAAGTTCGGTCATTCCATCTAAGTCTCTTAGACATCGTGAATTTTTGTGTAAACTTTTGAATTGAATTGTGTAAAAGCAGCAAATTGCTTTTGATTTGATCATGAAAAGTTCCAAGTGTAAAGCAATCAGAATAAGAGCACTGATGGATGTCATTATTATAAGTTTCCGTCAGCGTTCTATGTTGAAAATGATCCACCACCCGTAGCAATTAAAAACTGTTGAATTTGCCAGTTATTCTCACATCTTTCGGTCGGTATTGATCGAGTCCTAGACGTTGACTCAGAAGTTTAGAGGCAAGTTGTGAGAGGTGAGCGAACTGCTTCCTTCAGTTGCGCATTTTCTGAATGCGTCAACTTATTTGGAAGTATTATTCACCATAAGATGGCGTAAAATTATCATGATGATGCTTTCCATTATTATTATTTCTCCACAAATATTCCTGTGAAGCGGTCTTTGCATAGTTATTTCGAGTGATCTGTTCCGAAATCAAGCTACGTTCACTATTTAACCCGAACATTTCTCTGCAAATAGCATTGTTTAGCTGATAATTTTTTACCGCATTCTCTGTGAACGTTTCACTACTGACAATAAGCGAAAAAAAGCTCGTTGATATTTGCTGATTTGATAGATCTGCTGAGGGTATAATCCATCACACTGCGTATTGTTTACCCTCTTTGTTTCTCGCTTATTGTGCCCATAATGGCATTCATAAATCCGCACAAATCCATAAACTCACATACAAATACGTTTGATGAATGTGAAATTTTGAGGTTTTTAGCAGTCTCAATCGAACGAGTTGTCACGATTTGAAGTGATAATGAATGTTGATGCATATAGTTTGTGACATATCTGATTCAGTATCCACTCTTCTCATGAAACATCCTCGCATACGCACAACATATGTATCCGTATACATATTTACACACAAACGAAAGCCACTCCATTCATTTAGATTATACATAATAATGACCACCGTTACACATTCAACAAACAAGTCACTCTCACGTTATGGATCTCGTACTTATAAATATTCCCATCGAATTAGAGCACTGTTTCCAAAAACTGAAACTGAAGCTTTCAAGGAAGGCTATGATACACTATTATCGAGCACCGTGTGCACAGCACTATTGATGAATTAGAAACGGATGAAGCACATTGCAAATTCTTTGCCAGTGTCATTACTAATTTCACATTCTTTAGAAGGGATCGGCTCATTTCGTCTCCTCTAACCCTGTCATTCATCTATGCAAACGAACTCATTTGTGTAAGCTGTGAACAGGAATGGAATACTTTGAGTCATCCTTTTTTTTTTCCAAATTATCAGCCAATCAAGTTGTTTTTCAATAGTGAACAGTGTGCGCGCGAAGAATCCAATAATATATATCGCTGTCATTTTCTACGGAAGAAATTTTTTTCACACTGAATTGCATTTGAAATATTGCTGCTTTGCCTTCAATTTTAAAAGCCAGTAGACAATATGAGCATGCCACGTTGTTGAGTTGTCACAAGAAATTGGCAGCTTTGCGAGCAGCCAGCAAACGCATTGAAATTCTTTTGCTCTCGCAGTTCACTACAGCTGATCAATGTTTCGAGGAAATTCGAAAGACATTTTGAAAAGTCATTTTATTTCCTAAAAGATTGCCTAAAATTAAGGAACAAGTCTAGGTAATTGCGAAAATGACTGATCAAAGTAACTGCAAAAAATTTCATATTGACAACATCGTCAACTTACTGAATTATTCGACATTTTCGTTGGGACAACCGTTGAAGTTAGTGCATACTGATATGAGAGTAGCAGATGCAATTTATATTTTGCAAGCACCTGTTGTATTTGACTTCAAGAATGTAGCGGTATGGGTGTTGGATTGCTCAGAAAGTGGGTGAGAAACGTTTCGAGAGCATTTTCATTTAAATTATCACAGGAAATATCACGGAGCGAATTTTGTTGACGTTTTTGATAGTGTTTTAAATTGAAGTGAATGCATTGTCATGGAAAGATAATAGAATTCTAAATGAATGCAAAGCCACTGTTCATTTTGAAAAATGAATAAATTTTTTGTTAGATTTCAATATAAGATTCGCACATGAATATATCTTCTTAAGAATTCTGGCGTATTTTCATTCGCTTGGCTATCGATCACAATTGAGTGATAGTAAGGGATCAAATGAACTGCTATCCTGTAGCAGTGGCTGTACTTTCTCCATCCAGAAATCAAAGAACACTACGACATTATAAGTGTTTAGTGGCACTAGTTCGACTCTAACTTTTGCAATCCTGTGAATATACATTAGCAAAATAATTTTGTAAGAGCTAATTTGGATGAAAACTGAGAGGTGTGTACTGGATGACTGTCACAGAAACCAGCTCTCTGAAAGGAATCATGCACACGGATGTACTGTTTGTGCAACAGTAACTGCTTAATGCATCAGCAAACAACAGTCAGTCTTATTTTGGGCAAAGCGTGTTTACATTAGAATTTTATTTCGCAACTGTAAATGCTTTGTGATCAACTGTAGGAAACAATTTTATGCGTGAATCCAGTTTGGCTGTGTACTTTTAAGCAACTCTGATCAACGCTTCTTTCATAATCATGCTTTTTGATTTTCCTCATAAAATGCAACCATCAAATAAGCTCATAAACAAGCCAGCCCACCTGAAAGGGACGGTATCGACAAAGACTTGTTGCTTTTGAGGTCGAAAAGAGACAGAACTTTGAAAATCAGTAATTCATTGTCAGTTTTTTTTTCTGACATATTTTTCCTCAACCGCTCAGTTTTAATGAACGTTTATATTACGGAATTCATAGCGTTCAATTTATATTGACCGTTATGAAATCCTTGACTAGAAACCTGTTGTGAATTTGAACAATAAACTGACAGCTAACTTCTTAGTTGCACCAAAGATTGCTGGACCACCATTCCAAACGATTGATGCAGTGCTCAATCAAACAGTTCAAATGGAATGCAAAGCAAGCGGAACGCCATCACCGGATATAACGTGGTCGCTTGGTGGTAAAACGATATTCCCGTCTGAAAAGACTCAGGTCAGCAGTGCGTTTATATGGTGTTGTGTTTTCTTGTCAAGTGAGCGATGAAGAGAAGAAGATCAAAATGGCCCGTTGAAATAGAGGAATGCCAGAAGCGTTCTAGCAACAAAAAAAAATAGACGTCTGCTTAAGCCAGCTGTGAAACCGTCTCCATCATATTAGAGAAACTGGTGCTGTTCGCATTGTAATTGCACTGCTATTGATCAATAATTCGATACTATTAGTTGTGTCATTATCACCCTTTAAACGCCAATACGTCACTCATTCACACTTCTAAGTGATGGATAATGTAGAGGTTGTCAACGCACTCAATTGAGATTATCCTAAATATGGAATAAGGATAAAACATCACTGATGATTGATTTATTGGATGAGTCCAATAAACCGTATTCCTGTTCTTAATGGAATGGCTGCGTTTTTCTGACTTTAGATTGGAGTCAACTTTAGGTTTGAGAATGGAGGACATATTTTTGAATCTGTAAATTTCATTTTTGTTATTATATTCATTCTCAGGTACTTCAAA